TCACCAGCCCTGACGTGACAGGCTCGCACTCCCCACATCCCCAAAATGCTAAACGCCAGGTCTGGGCCAGGTCTGAGCACGCTAACTTACTAAATCGGAGAAACCCACAAAAACATGTGCGCACATACATGCCTGAAAGTTTGTCGCTTATTTCATTATGGCAGCATCATCTGGTTGGTGATACACACAATTCCCCCATCTAATTACGGAGAGGATTTAAGGTCCATTAACGTTGCCGTGGCAAGGAATCAGATGCAAAATGGCACCCAGTGGCCACCAAGAGAGTGATTCTTTTCACCTCCTTCCATTTCTTAACCCGAAGGCTGCAAATGCGTGAGTCACAAGAAAGGAAAGAAAGAAAATAACAATGAATAAATAACCAAACAATTCACCTTGCTGAAAGGGGCAGGTGTTGGTTTTGGTTCAGGTAAATTCAATGCGAGGGAATGGATCGCTGTTTGTGTGTCTTCCAGGCACATGTTTTGCTTGGTTTGTGATCTGTAATTGTGCCGTTTCCTGTGAGTCAATGGAACAATCCACATTGTAAGAAAAGGGAACCCCCACCTCCTTGAAAAAAAGCTGGGGAAGAATCAAAAGGGAAGCGAGCACTAAGCTTAATCACGTTCGCCTCCTCCTCTCTCGCTCAGGGTGTTTGGCTATTTGGCTCCAACTTAAACTGGCTGACTGTTTTTCTCTCTGTTTTTGTAATTAATAATAGTGATGTGAGCCGGTGAGAGTGATTGAGTTGAATATTTAATGCAGAAGAAACATTAGCCCATCCAATTTGCATCAACACCAACAAGTCCAGAGGAGAGTACAATGTCCTTCACACACGTACTATCAACACTTCAGACTAAATCTGTTCTAGACTATACTGCAAATCTCCATCAGAATATATATCAGTGGTGGAATAGAAAAGTATTCATATTTGAGGGGGGTAAATAGTAGCAACCATACACAACACCCTACACTGAAAAAAAATGGTGAAGGATTTATCTTAAAACAAATCATTTCAAATACAAGTAACATTTAACTAAACATGATATTTTCAAGTAGAATGAATAAAATAGTATTTTCTTGTAAAACATACTCACTAACATAGACCACTTTGAAAAATATTTTTTTTTACAGTTTAGAAACCCTTTTAGAAACCCCGAATGCCCTTTCAACCATTCACAGCAAATGTATTACACATGTATTATTATTATTTTTGGTATTTATTGTGTGTTCTGTGTTAACCCCCTCTAAGTGACATTTAAAAAAAATACACTTGCAGTGTCTCTAAATAAATCATCACAGCATATGCAACTGTTTTAATATAGCACCGGCTCACTTCCTGCTCATGACATTGTCCACACCTGTCTGGAGAGTTTAGCTGAGTTCCTCTGTTCTAAAGTCATCTCTATATCTGTCAAATGATTTCAGACTCTGGACTCCAGCTGCAGAAAGCGCCTATAAGCAGGACATAATAGGCATTCACAGTCCAAAACCATTAGAGCCAATCACGGTGCTCCGAAAAGCAGAAGTCAGCAGAGCACCGCAGCTACACTCTTAAAAATAAAGGTGCTTCACGATGCCATAGAAGAACCTTTTTGTCTAAATGGTTCCATAAAGAACTTTTAACATCTGAAGAACCTTTCTGTTTCACAAAAGGTTCTTTGGGGCGAAAGAAGGGTATTCAGATTATAAAAAGGTAAGAAAGAGATGGTTCTTTAAAGAACCTTTGACTGAATGGTTCTTTGTGGAACCAAAAATGGTTCTTCTATGGCATTGCTTGAAGAACCTTTTGAAGCACCTTTATTTTTAAGAGTGTAAGAGTTTATTTTCACAGTTGTGTATTTTCTCTGGCACTCTTTTAAAACACCCCGATGTGATATCTCTCTCGGTTCTCTGGCGAAATGACCTTTCCGTTTTAATGCCGTAATGATCCAGAGCAGTGAGGGAATTCGCTGGGAGACGGGAATGGAAAACACTGTCTATTTCACTTAAAAACCTAATTTATGTTGCAATTAAAGGCTGAAAGGAGCTTGTTTCTCCCCTCTGGCTGGCTGAATAGAAGCAGCTATATTTCGCCCTCTTATCATACGGGTGACTCCTATTGGCCACCCCGTCACAGGAGAGTGCTTGATATAAACAAGAGATTGCACTGACATTCAGTAATCAATATTAGGATGGCTTCAGTACCAAACATCATTTGTCTCAGCCTCCATTCTTCTGACCAAATGAAGCATTCATTTAAATCATAAATCTGGGAGTGATTTAAATCCTGGAATGAGAGGCCCGCCTGCCTTTAATGATTTATTTTCTACATTTCTGCGAGCGAGAGATTTGTCCATACGCGGTGACAGGTCACCTTCAAACGCCAGAGGAAGACTGTTCATCACCATGCAGACTAGCATCTCATCGCTGCGAGTAAATATTAAAGTAAAAGAATCCAATTGATTGTGGATGGGCCGGAGAGGCGTCGCGGCCATATATTTCACTCAAAGCTTCTAATGCCTCTCTAGTTCAGCTCCTTCGCTCACTGCTGGGCCTGGAATTATTATTCTTCAGGAAGTCTGCATGCTCAAGGTTACAATTTAAATTGTAAAAAGATAAAAACAGTTTCTTATTAGCCCCATTGCCGCAGCCTCGCCTATTCTGATTCGCATTTATCTTTATTTCGGTGACCTCGTGGCCTCCCGCCGCCGTTCGCTGTTGGATGGCCTCAGCTCCACGCGGCTTCCTTTTGATAAATCTGCTTAGAGCGCACCGTGTTTTGCCAAAACTCCTAGTGTCAAATGCAGCTGGGAAATCCTCGACGCAGGGTGGATATTCACAATGGAAATCACACGCGCACGGTTCAGCTCAGGGATTATGGTAACTGAATCATTTGTAATGGATTTGTGGTTTAATATAACAGTGTAATTTCCACAAAAAATGGCTTTAAGTAATGTTGCAAAGAGACAGAAAAAAATCGGAATGTATCTGAGAAACGATTAATTGGAGCGGGGGACATTCAAAACCAATTTTCTTCACCAAATTGAATTAGAGGCTCACTTAATAGCTATTAGCTTTGGGATAAAGTGCTCATGGATGCATTTGATGTGTAGCTACTTTAAAAGTGTATTACCTGCTAATGATGAATTTGGAATCAACCAAACAAACTGACTGCTCAAAAGAAGATTACACAAAGCTTTCGAGTTTCCTTATAGATTTGGAAGTTTGCAGTTTAAACTGCATTTACGTGAGTTAAGGAACATTAGGAATTTTGCGTAGGTAAATAGCAGGAATTATGTTTAGTTTTATAACAGCAGATCAGTTTGTTCTTAAAGGGATAGTTCACTCAAAATTGTTGTTCCAAAACCGAATTAACCTTTAAAACCCAACTTTCTTTTGTGGATTAAAAAAAGATGATATGATGAAAAATGTCAAAGTGTGTTTTTGACTAAACTGATTTTTTGGACAAAATGGAAAAAGTGTGGACAAAAACAGTTCAATTCTTCAAAATATGTTCTTTTGTGTTCTAACTGAAAGAATGCAGGTTTGAAACAACATGAGGGTGAGTAAATGATGACAGAATTGTCATTTTTGGGTGAAGTATCCCTTTAAGTGTAAAGTCTGAAACCCTGTTAACTCTAGCATATGAGTGCTTCTATCAGTTTCTGGTCATCTGACTGGACAGTGCTAAGTACGGGTGTAAATGGGATCCAAAATGCTTTGTGAATGCTTAAACTATATGGGGAAGAAGGGGACATATGCATCGTATTTGTCGTGCAAACGCTAATCTGACCTGATGAGTCCCACCTACTCATGTGCCATGTGCTAAAACAAAGGTTTTAAGCAGGGCCTAAAACTAACCTTTTGCCACACCTGCCAATGGCCGGTGACATGTTCAAATTTACCAGCCAAAAATCTTTTTTACCGGCCATGAAACTCTTTTTGCAAAAACAGGCAGTTATTACTACTACAATAACTAAACATATTTACAATGTTTTTAATTTGTCCTGCTGGTGCATTTTCCCTCAATTTTACCTATTAATTATAGCCATTCAACATTACAGTATAATTGAAAGCCATTATTTTTAACATTTAATAGGCTCTGAAATATATAACAACTTTTAATTTAAGTGATTTTAAAACAATCTTCACATCTTCGTGCGTTGAAGCGCTACTGGTGCGCTGTCTGAAGCGGCTCAGCATATGCGTTCAGCCGAACGCGCAGCCTTTCAATATATACTTATACAATATATACCTATACTTCACTGGACCGTTTAGGCGGCGTAACTCCAGGTATGTGTCGTCACACTTTATTCTCGGGTTATGAAGAATAAAGAAGGGAAAAGTTAATCTTCTGAAATGAAGCAGCAAAATCTTCTCAGGTAAAAGTTATTAGAACAGTGTCTGGGGACAAGCTGGCCTTGTCACTTCATTGCATTGTTATAATTCATAAAAGTTGTACCCGCCAACTAGCGACTGACACTGTTACATGGACTCGCCGATGCTGATTTTTACTCGCATTTGGCGCTTGGCGAGTGTTAATTTTAGGCCCTGGTTTTAAGCATTGTATCTATGCATGGCCTTAAAGAAAATAACCTTTCAGTTAAAAATTGGGAAAGTGCATACATATACATGCACAATACTTTGTCTGATAGCAACATGCAGTGACAGACCACATGAAGCACGTGCATCTGAAATTAAGTTAATAGTACATAACTAAAAAATGGTAAATTGCATAAATAGAACAAAATGTGCTAATAACCAAAATAACTAAAATTATTTGTGCTTTTTTCTTTTTATTTCCTTTTTTTTAACTTAATCAACATTTAGTCATGAAACCAGATACCCTCCCCTCAAAATCTGATCACAAGTAGTCACAGAAGACACATTTGAGAAGCATGTTACTCCCAGGTGTAAACAGTGATGTGTCTTGCCTGACCACTTGTGACGGATCGCGAGACGTTTGCTAATACCAGGCCTGCATGCAGTGTGAGTCACTCTGCTGGTGGATGGTGACTCACCCAGACTGGAGCTGAGGTCTCCGTTCTCTGAGTCGGCCCCGAGCTGGGTGTTGCTTCCATGGTAGCTGCTCATCACCTCCAGTTTGATCTTCTTCACCTTCATGGCCTCTGCGATGGCAGCATTGGTGGCGGCCGCAGCTGCTGCAGCGGCGGCTGTGAGGCCTACAGCAGGAGGACATAAAGATGAAGTCACTGCACCATAAAGGTTAAACTAAAATGGGCCTAAAGCAAGGGTTTGGTCAAGAAATTCTTTTAGATTTTTTTTTCTAGTCATTTCATGGGGAGAAGAGACAGTAACATAAGAACAACAGATTCCACATTTTCGGGGGAAAACTAGAACTGATTATTTATTTATTTATTTATTATAGGATGCATTGGATGCAATTGGTGACAATAAAGACATTTATAATGTTACAAAATATTTATATTTCAAATAAATGATGTTCTTTTGATCTTTCTATTTATCAAAGAATCCTGAAAAAATGTTTCCAGAAGAAATATTACAAATATAACACTGACAAAAAAATAATTTTTCTTGAGCACCAAATCAGCATATTAGAATGATTTCTGAAGGATCATGCGACACTAAAGAATTAAGAAATGGTTGCTGAAAAATCAGCTTTGCCATCGCAGGAATAAATTACATTTTATAATAAAATAGAAAAGTTATTTTAAATTGTAATATATTTCACAATAAAGCATCCTTGCTGAAAAAAAGTAATAATAAAAAAAAAAAATTACTGACCCCAAACATTTTGACTGTTGTATTATTGTATATTATCGTTTAAAAATTGTAAATAAACAAATAAATAAAACCAAAAGCTAAATGGCTTGTTTTAAATGTTACAATTTGAATAACTTCAGACCTGCTAAAGATTTTTAAAAAAATGTATCCAATTGTTTTAGTATTCAATAGTATCCAATATTAATATATTATCTATGTAATCAATTATACAATTGTAATCAATGAACAATTTTAAACTCATGTTTTTGAGATCGCACATTACTTTGAGTAGGGCTTTACCTCAGAAAAGATAAGGGAAAACTGCTTCCTGCTCTTTAACTGTTTGGCACGGTCTTTTCTCCCATCACTAGCCTAACTCAGTCTAGCACCGCGTCTTAACTAGAGCGGATCATTTGCATCCCATCACCGACGGTAGCTTTGCTGTTTTTGATTACACAGCTGGCCCCATTGGACTGATGCAACGTTTTCTGCTGGAAGCCTCACTGTTGTGTACGTCTTCTCTCATTTCCATCTCTTTTTCTCTCTAAATACAAAGATGATGGCGTTAAGCTTTGATGGTGACAGATGGAGTCAGGAGAACATATCAGGACTGACATGTTGCCATGGTTTCTGTTTGTAAATAAACGGGTGGGGATGTACGACAAAGTGAAAACAGTCTGAAACAGTGGGAATCCAAAGACACACACATACACACACAAATGTGTGAAACATCTCAAACATACGCACTTTAAATGCTCTCAGCTGACTTCAAATCCATTGTCATTCCCTCTGAATGAACAGGAACGCTGCGATTTAAAGTCTTTTGGCTCTAGTGGCAATCATAATTTTTTTTCCATTGTTTAATTTGTTTAAAAGGAGGACAGTGCAGACGGGGAGATTGGAAAAGAACTGAAACACTGTCATTTACTCTTTTTCAATGACAAAACACCTGAAAGACTCACAATAAGTAAAAGGAGGATCCTTGAAAGAGACCTTGAATCCATGAATGAAGATTAATGAAATGATGTGAATGGATGAATCAAAGCAGAGATTTTTTTCCCAGCGTTGTTCAGTGAATCCTGTGATCTCGGTTTCATTTTATACGTACAGTGTATTGAAAATGGTTACAGTACAATAGTCTCATGTATGAGATAAGAAGGCAAAGTGGATTCTGGGATAAGGGCTGTGCAACTTCATAAAAATATTAAATGTCATAACTGAATGCATTTTTTTTTATTTAACATTTAAACAGATCTGCATTCTGTATATTTATTTATTATCCTGTTAATCAATTAACCAAAAAATGAATAAATCCAATTAATTACAAGATATGCCAATTAATTAACTGCATATTAATATTAAAGAAAGCACATTATTGTGGCACATAAATAAACCACTGAATAAGATGTTTTTTTATAAAAATTACATTACATTAGTCAGTCAATTGTATGTGTTATTTCCATATAATTACACATTTGTCATTTGTTGCTAAACTGAGAGATATAATATGTATCGCTTTTTAGTAAACTTATTAAAAAGATGCAGTCAGTAATTAAAATTTTCCCAAGACAACAGCCCTTAAAATCCCCAAATCCTCTACTGTAGCATCAATCAGTGATACGCTCATGTCCCATTTGACTTTTGTTTTCCCCCCACGTGAGGGAAGCCAATTGGTAAATTCATCATCACTAAACTGTCACATTCACTGACATGACTCAACTTTGGCCATTTGGCCTCTGTCTCCTTTCCTGAGCGTGAAGAGAAAAGGAAAAAGAAAGATATCGAACATATGGCATTAATACGCCACCTTGCCTCCCCGGCAGCAGATAGGCAGATGGTGTGGGCAACATTGCATGCCACCGGCTTTCTTGTTTGCATTTTAAAGTACATCAGTACCATATTGATGAATCGTATACACGGTGTCGGAGTGGCCGCTCTCGTTTGCTGTTGTATATTCATGCCCTACAGCTGCGGAGGGGATCTACTTCCCCTCCTCCACTCATAATAAATATGGCCTCCAGTCGCACAGAAGGTCAATCTTCATTTGCGTCTAATGGGAGAGAGTCAACTGTTTTCTAAATGAGATCTATGCGTAGCAGAGACCTGTAGATAAAAAAATAATAAAATCACCTTCCAGCTGCTTGCGTGAAAATGTCGGGCAATTGAGTTACATTTAGGGGAATTTTTAGTCTAGCAATTATGCACTTCAGTAATGCATTAAACACATCTCTCATATTCATTTATCAACTAAAATGGATATGTCTATATGAAATGCCCTGAAGGTATGGATGTTATCAATAAACATTACAATTACAATATTTTCCTGCTCAATTAGTCTATCACAGCATAGACCAGTGGCTCTCGGCTGGTGGACTGTGACCCAAAAATGGTAAATTTGAAGATAGCAATGAAAGAACATATGCTACTAACCATATTATTGTTCATAAGTATGATAGTAAAAAAAGCTTTGCCAACTTTTAAGACAGTGTTATTAAAGGCAAAGGCTTTGCATCCAATTAAACTTTTCAGAATTTAGGACAAATTGAACCTTCAACCACTGAAAAACAAACAAACAAATAAATAAATAAATGTTGCCCTTTTTCAACAACACTACAAAAGGAAAAAGTAGATACAACCCAGACTAGATTAAATATACATTCGTTTAGGATAAACATGATTTGTGACATGTTTTTGAGACAGCATATAATTAGATATAATAAAATAACAAATACTAATTAGGAAATATTTTATCATAGTAAGTACATAAATAAACAAAATTTTGCCTTTTTTTTCAACAACACCACAAAAGGAAAAAGGAGATACAACCCAGGCTAGATTAAATATTAGTTCATTTAGAATAAACATGGTTTCTGTCAAGTTTTTGAGACAATATATAATTAGATATAATACAATTATAAATACTAATTATGAAATATTTGATCTAAATAATAAATAATAAATAAATAAACTGCAGTAAAACCAGTTGAGAAGCACTGCTACAAACTACAAGCATGCAAAAGCCAATTGTATGTTTATGGATCCTCCTCTATCTTATCATTCAATATTGTTCCAGAGAGATAGTTTGGTTCATTAGATCACAAATAACATCCATCGTAGGCTACAAGAGTGTTTCACTGTAACATCTAGATCAGATTGCCCATCCACAAACTGTTCTTCACATCAGCAACAAGTCCACTCGTAGTGCCTGTGTATGTCTGAACATCACAAAGAGCAACCCACTCCTACCTCAATTAGCATTCATTAGTATGCAAAGCACCAATGGCAGATCGCAATGTTTCGACTTTTGAAAGTCACCTTTAAATTCAGACACTCGTGTCTGTTTTCTCACAGACACAAGGATCTCTTCAGCCATATATATACAGCTGAGCCTGAGAGAGAACGAGCGGGCAGACGGGCGCAAGACGGTGGCGTGGGGAGGGGACTTTGACAAATAAAGAATCGCATGGTACTGTCATACTGCGCACAAAACAGCAAATAATAGAGATGGGGTCTGATCGTAGCCCTTGGAGCAGCTGTCATATTAAATAATAATGAAGGATCTATTAATATGCAAAGGAACCAGCAGCAGACTGGCTTAACGCTGTCATGCCTCTGAATATTGTCAGAATGTTCATTATTAATTAACATGCGGGCTGCCCCATACCTGCTCAATGTCAGAACATTCCTATAACAAATTAGGAATGTATGTGCCTCCTTCCACTAGTAGTGTAATTAAATTAAGATCCGATTAACTTCACATCAGTACACAAAGAGTGACTTAGCCATGCTTATGATAAGCAAGTGCTTATCTACTGACTTAATGTTGCGGGATCCTAATAGAGACCAAGGCCAAATTTCACTCTATTTACCAGTATATTTGCAGAAATGAGCTCTGTTTCAGTGACTATCGAGGACCGATTGCGTGCTCAAAGCTGAGGTTGTGCCAGCGAGGACTGGGTGAATTAATGCATTTGAATTGTTCCATCTGCATTAGAGCCAAATACCGCACATCAATTATAAGCTGTCGACACTGGGTGTGAGGAGAGTCACATTAGAGTTGACTGATCTGTTTATGACAGTGTAATCTTGCATCTGAGTGAAGGGCTACATGTTTCATTAACCTCTTTTTGTGTCGATTCTCCCTGTCTTGCTGCATTTCTAGTTGACTGTGTCCACCTGATGACAGACTGATGCTCTGATGTCATTTCTTGCAATAGCTGTGAGACACTGTTAGTGTCAAGTGTGTGTGTCTGTGTGAACAGTCTATCTATCTATCTATCTATCTATCTATCTATATGTCTGTCTGTCTGTCTGTATATCTATCTACACATACATACACAGTGTGTGTGTGTGTGTGTGTGTGTGTGTGTGCGTGTGCGTGTGCGTGTGTGTGTGTGTGTTTAAAAGTCTGGGGTTGGTCATATTTTTTATGTTTTTAAAAGAAGTCTCTAATGCTTAAATATCTCTAATTCATTAGATTTAAAATAAAATAATTTAAAATATTATCCAATCAGATTTGAGAACCAGAACGAACTGTTGTATAAATATATATCATGTCACTTTCACTATATATATATATATATATATATATAGTGAAAGTGGCACACACACACACACACCCGGAGCAGTGGGCAGCCATTTTTGCTGGGAGGGGAGCAGTTGGGGGTTCGGTGCCTTGCTCAAGGGTCTCACCTCAGTCGTGGTATTGAAGGTGGAAGAGAGTGCTGGTCATTCACTCACCCCACCTACAATCCCTGCCAGTACCGAGACTCGAACCCACAACCTTTGGGTAACAAGTCTGACTCTCTAACCATTAGGCCACGACTGCCCCAAGAGCACAAATGCAGTCCCCCACTACCATAAATTATGCAGTCGAGATTCCCACATTTGGGGAATTCGCAGCGGTCAGCACGGCCGGAGTGCAATGGCCAAGTCTCGCCCTGAGTGAACCACCTTCTTGATCATGGTGTCTCCCCTGCCAGGTAAGTATATAAAATAATAATAAAAAATGTCTTAACCCCAAACTTTTGAATGGAAGTGTAAACAATGTCAAATTATCCATTCTTGGTCCATTTCTTGATTCTTATTTCTGTCAAACCCAAAGCAACTGACCTGTAAGATTTATGCTACACATTTAGGGATATTTCTGGAGCATAATATTTGTTAACTATTAAGTCACCTGCTCAATATAACAGGAATCAACATGGAGCTGGAAATATCTCTATTCTAGCAGTGTAAGTATGGTGTTAAATGACATGCTATGGAAGTTAAAGCACAAAGGTCCTGAACATTTGCCAATATTACAATTACACCCCTTTATGATGAAGTTACATTAGCAAAATAGCTAGGACCACTTCATGCTGTTTTTAACTGTTGTTTACATTTGCTCTCCCAATCCTAGCTGTCCAAGATCAGTGAAAGCCGAATGTAAGCAAATCTCACTGCATCTATTCATTGCATGCCGCTTTGTCAACTTTTCTTTAAAAGTTCCAACCAAAATGTCAATATCAGAGCCTCTCTCATGGTTTAAAGGCCTGGATATCAAAGGGTTTTTGTCGTGGTTGCTGAGGACTAAAAAGAGTAGACTCTCATCCTGTACCACGTGGCCTTTGAGTTCCTGATTCTAAACAAGACACTGATAGGCTGACCTCACTCAAATATGGAGGGGCAGCTGGATGCAGTTTACCAAGCCGAATGGTTCACTAATGCCTCACCGGCATTGTTCAAGATTACCAGTTCTGTTGCCAAGCTGGAATTTCAATAGTTTCCCCTAAATTTCAAGTTTAGAGACAGAATGCTACACTTATATAGCAAAGAACATAAGAAAGAAAATTCGGCAATTAATACATTTCATTAGGTTTATGCTTAAATTGGATGCACTGTAAGTCACAGTGGATAAAGTCTCTGCCAAAATGCATGCATTTAAATGTAAAGTCATCATGAAGAGCTACTTGTATAAAGACTCTGTGGTAGCTTGTTTTGTGACAGCAAGATACTTTGTCCTATAGGACAGAAAACACCATACATTGCAATGAAAAAATAACAAAAACAAACACATGGTACTTAGGTTTGAAAATGAGAACTATATGGCTTTGTGTTCAATAATTGCTCAAGAAACCACAAGAGAGACTTAACGAGAAGTTAACTGTACATTAACAAGGAGTGAACCATAACTAATGACTGTGTGTTATTAAAAGATGGCAGAACAACCGAGAGCACGATATGTAAATCAGGACCCTTTCTCGCAAAAGACTTCAAAGCCGCTACAATGAAAACCAGCCGTAAATAGAACAAAAGCATAAGCCTTGCTCCAGGCAAACTGAAAGCACAAACGGTTGTTGTTGATTCTTGTGGCGAAAAGCTTACTTTAACATCACATCGGCCTATGTACATATAGCAGTGAAATGGATTTAATCAGGCTAATTAAAATCCACTCAAGGCAGAATGCAGCATCTACTATAATAATCTGGAAGAGAACAACTCTCCACTCCAATTTATTCTGGAGCTGTGGTTGCACAGGGGGCTTGCTGGGAAGGGAGGGGGGTCGGCCGGGACAGTCAATGGTTCTGGCTGGTAGTTTGGATGAGGGCTGTCAGATTTTGCAGCGTGCCATTTAACGGATGGGCAGCAGGCTGCTGCAAGAAAGGGCTGGGGCACGGGAGGAGGTCTGTGTGCATCACCTGTGGGGTGAATGATTCCCGGCGACATGAGGCCCGGCACCGAGTGCGGCATGATGTGAGGGTTCTCCGGCGATGTTACACTCTGGGTCCGTTTCGGAGGCCTCCCGGGTCTTGAGCTAAAACAGAAGTGAAGTGGTGGAAAGTGGGAGGTAGAGGGAAGTGGAGAAAGAAGGGGAGGGGTGAGAGACAGAGGTTAACATTCGGACCAGAACGCAATTCCATTCCGAAGAGCTAACATGTACTGTAAATAAATTCCTTTTCAAGGACAGTTGCTTTCTGCTGCTCGACATAATAGACTTCCATAACTAATTAGATTACACAGTGAATTCATTTCCTTTATTGAAGATCAACCACTTTTTGATGCATAATTCATAGCCCGTACCTCGTTACCTGCCCTTCTGTATTAATATCCCAACACTATTTGAATTACTTCGTTTGCATATGATAAAATCTGGCCAAGCGGCTTTCAGCCTGAAAATTACATGTTAACTTGTTATAATTATTGCAGTCAGGCCACTATTGATTTATGAGACTTTTAAAAAACCAAATATGTGTAGTTCTGGTAATGAATGATATTCTAAGGTTCTTCAGGAAATTAAAAGGCAATGGCTGCCTTAGGAAACGTTCTGCTTGCTTGATTTAATAGGAGTCATAGCTGGAAGCTGATGTGACTCAGACCTGTTGTGCGTTTATGATGGAAACTTTTATTACTTGAAATGAGTGACCAACATCACACAATGATTAATGACTCAACAAGCGCAAGTCCGACAGAGGGGAAAAAAAAAAACGCCCCTCCGAGCTGATTGTCAGATAATTTTGCACACATTCTGTTCTGTTCATCCATGCATTTTTTTGGCAAAAACGGAATATTAAAATGGCCTTTACGTAAATATTTCTTCACAGAGAGTGTCCCAAATAAATCGGTGTTGTTCTTACCAAGGGTGCTGCAGCCACTAGGGACATCTCCCCTGATTTTTACCAAAAAGGTGATTCCGTCCCAGCATTTTTTCAAACTAATTACATACTGGAAGCATTCAAAATACGACAAGTTGCTCAACTGATACACACAAACTTATTATAGAGAGTTGTTTCAATAACAACCAAGCTAGTCACTGGCTACTGAGGCACAAGACCTTCCATTCACAGTTATATCAAACATTGTAACAATAAAGACCAGAACAATTAAACAAACAAACTGAATTTTAAATATGAAATTAACAGAAAGGATCATAACAAAAACGACATATAAATAAATAAACCCATAAATTGTCTCGGTTACGTATGGTAACCCTCGTTCCCTGAAGGAGGGAACGGAGACGTCACGTCGGATGACCGACGAATTGGGATCTCGCTTAGAGAGACCAATCTACTTCGAGTGTAAT